GCTGGGCTCGGGCACCCCCAGTCCGCGCCCCCAGCCCGCGCCCCCAGCCCGGGACGGCTCCCCCAGCGCACTCCGCTCCCGACGCCCTCGCCCCGGCTAATAGCAAAGCACTCACAATCCTCCCCGCTCCGCAACCTGTGCTAGCAGCGCGGGGGATCTTCTTCCCAGGCAATCACTTCTCCATGGAAGTCCCCGATAAAGCTTCCCAGGAAATCTGGCACGTGGTCTGGGCAGAAAAGTCAGGCGGTGGGGGAGTTACCAGGGATCCTCACAGTAGCAAGAGTCTTAGTATCTGCAGGCTCAGGAGTGCAGGTGAAGAAGGTCAGCTCTACAGGGGATGTCTAGGAGGACAAACAAAAGACCCGGCAATGAGCAAGGGGCAGGGGCAGGGCTGAAAGGCAGAGTCAAACCGGCAGGAGCTCTGCAGGGCACCTCCAGCGTGTCCCTCGTGTGATTTCCTTGCCGAGTGGCTTCAGCATTCTGGCATTTCCTCAAGCCCGGGCCCGCGACAGCCCCAGGGAGGACGTGAAGGCTGGAGGCTCCAGGCCACCTCCATGGGCCAGCAGCGCTCCCCACCTCGCAGGACAGAGCTGCTCTTCTGGTTAATGCCCACTCACTTTTGCTACAGCAACAGGCACACAGTTCCCGCTCCTCCCCTCCCAGTGAATGCTTGAATCACACCATGGATTCACGGGCAACTGGCTTTTGTTCTTCAGGGTCTTCGTCTGGGAATGAAGACAATTATCACATCCCAGCGCCTCTGCTCACTGCAATAAATCTCTCTCAGAAGAATGGACCTTGGAGGCAGCTGCTCCGGGCTGCTTAGTCACCAGCTGGGAAACAGCCTGGCACTCACGGACAGCGCGGCACAGAGCGCCAAAGGCTTGCGAAGCTGCATGGCAGCACCGGGAGAGGGCTCTGCAATTCACTGCGGTTTAGCCAAAACTGGATCCTACTCCCTCGGTGATGGAGGGAGCAAAGGGTATGAGGCAAAGCTCAAGTTTACACCAAAGATCTTCAGAGGAGAAGTGCAAAGTGTTTTTCAAAGTTATGGCTGGATTAGGCTTAATAAGAGTTAGGGTTCCCCAGCAGATAGTAAACTATTTTCTTTATGCCCATGTCTTAGACAGAGTTAAACACCTTTTGTAACAGCACTAAATCCAGTTTTCTGGTAGCATTAGAAATGGAATCCAGCCCACAGCCTCCAGCATCACTCCTCTTTTCTATAGCCATAAAAATAAACCATCCTCTGTGCACATGCAGAGAGGTGAAGAAAAGTTTCCTGTGCTCATTGAATACTGCCTGAGTTTCTAACCTCACCTACACAAGTTCTGTGAACTAACTTCCATAACCACACACTGGACTTTCAAGTAAGACTTGGTGCTTTGGCTGGAATCAAGGACAGCTCTAGAGACTCTTGGCAAGAATGCTTTGCTGGCGTTTCAAAGGAAAGGCGACAGCCAGCAAGTGGAAGCTAATAATTGGCACCTCGTTGTCCTTTCACCTAAAATCACACCTAAAAGGCCCCAAAGAGCGCAGGAGCAAGTCCAGAAAGCAGGGTCCAGCGCCTGGCCTGCTGGATGCTTCCTTTGGGCCTCTCAGCTCTCCGGAGGATTTCCTGCAGCCACTTGTGCACGTGAGCACTGCCATCTGTTTGCTCCTTGCCAGGGCAGCAGAGTCGTCGTCACCAGTGCTGGTAATTCATCATTGTATCGGCACTAATTCCCACAAAGCAAATACTCCAGCCAGTCAGCTGTCTCCTTAAGGCAACTGCAGTTCCTGAAGTCAGCCTCCATTCATACATCTCAAAATAAATTAGAAATAACAGAGTTCTTAGACTTAAGAGATGTCCATCCAGTGCAAGAAGACCTTGGCAAGCAGACATATGACCTTGGGATGGTTAGACGGTAAAATCCCAATGTACTTTTAATGCCTGTAAATCTCTCTAATAAGCAGCTGAGCAAAGGGCAAATTGTGTTGTGCAGTTTGGGTGATGCTGTCACTCTGGGTTAGCTTATTTTTAAATAGGTTGCAATTCTGTTTACATGCAGTCAATTTAAAAAATCAGCTCAGATGCATTTTAAGAAGTGTTATCCTTACCAGTTAGTAAACCTTGATCTGCCACCCTCAAGGCACATCTTTCACACAACCCTTGGAAGAGCTTCCCAGCACATGGACTAGCAACATGTTAATCTTTATAAATCAAATATTTGCCAAGTGGAGTAGAAATCCATGTGTCGAAGCAAGATGCATTGAAAAATGGAACAAAGCGCTGTGTGTGTCAGAGATCACTAGGTCGTGTTGCAAGCCTGTCCCTTGCAGAGTTATCCTTCAAAATAACGTTTCCGTTGCCCAGCTGTAGATGTTATTCTGCTCCAGCATTTTTTTTTTCCTGCTTTTTACTGCACAAAACTGACCCTCTCTCTGACCCAGCTCCTCCTCATGGAGTTTAATGTCACCCAAACTTTGTTTGAATTAGCTTTGGTTCTGAGCCGAGACAGGGCTTGCCAAGTGTTGACTTAAGAGGCATTGGTAGAAGAAATGCAGAGTTACCTCCCTCCCCCCCCAGTACTGGGGCTGTGAAAGTATGTCACACGCCTGCCGTATCTCAATTATTTTACATTTTCACACATCTGAAAATTTCACAAGCTGCTGTTTGGTGCTGATGCCTCACACCAATACCAGCGCTGCTTCTGCAGTTCAAAGCTTCCTTGGTACCCTTATTTATCTTCATATGGATGTTTCTCTGCTTCTGCAGGGGATGCTTCTGTCATACGGTTTGGAAGGAATGGAAAGCACAGAGTCTCCATCCTAATAAACCATCTTCAACTATCCAACTACTTATTATTCAGAAAGAAGAGTGAAGCGGCTGTGCCTCTCTCTTGGCTAATGCTGAGTACCTGAAAAAGGGCAGCTGGGCTGTTTGTAAGTGCACAGGTAAGAATTTGAGCCTTCTGCTACCTCTAATTCAGGCATTTCCTTGAGGAACGCAGACAGAGCCCCGATGTCTCTCACATGCAGAAACTAAAACTCCAAACTGCTTCTATGGGGCCAAACCACTTCTGCTTTCCAGTTCCACCAACAAAGCCTTCCACCAGATGCCCCATCATAAGGGCATTGCAAATGGGCAGTTTGTAACTTCCACAAATAAAAGTCTGTTGGCAGGCTGAGAATGGACAGTCTACCACTGAAACAGGAATAGGACTAATGGATTTCTGAGTGTATTCTCAGCCTGTATATTTGACACATCCCTGGAACAGACACTTCCATGCTAAAGCTCCTCTCCTTTTCCTTCCCACACCCCTGAGATTCCCATGTGTAAAGAGAAATGGGAGCTTGCTGTCCCATGAACTCCAGCTGGCTGAAAGGCTGCTGGCTTCTGCTCCTGCAGGACCTCCAGGTCAGCTCTCCCAAAAGAAGGTTCATCAGTATTCAGGAAGCAATTAACACTGCATTGCAGTGATCCGGTCATGGCACAACTTCCCGCTGTTCCAGCTGACAGGGAGACGTCAGTCCAGGACATCCCATGTCTGTCACTCCAAGCAAGCTATTAACACACATTATCACTCTCACATGGATCAAGCTATCAGAAGCAGCAGTGCCTGGAAAAATCTGGACAACTCTTCCTCCTCCTCTGGACAAAGTCACAGCATCACCACCTAACATCCATGCACACATTACCCAGAAGACCAGTCTGTAGCTACACAGCAACCACTGACTGGCCAAGCTAGCTAGCGGCAATCATCAAGTGCACAATTTGCTCTTTGGACTTTGGATCGTAGATGCAATTTCACATTCACAGCTCTGCCAAGACAGAGACAGGAGGACATGTGTTCAAGCTAATTCTTCAGGTTTCCAAACAAGTGTACTTATTCTGCACACTAAAGGTCTACGCTGATTTGCTTTTATGGCCAGACACCTGCATGTTTGGCAATCCCATTATTGGTCTAGTTCTCTCAATTTCCTCTCCCCCTCTCCTTTCAAGTCTGTCACATCAGGGTTGACCAAACTTCTTGATGCTACAAGCTTCACATCAAGAGTCTGGTACATCAGGGATATGTCCCTCAGAAAGCTGAGGGGAGGGGGCACAAGTTCACAGGCAGGAAGAGCAATACCTCCCCAAGGGGACAGAGTGACCCAAGCATGTAGGTCTCAAGAGCCTGTCTGTACTGGCTCACCTCCTCGCACAGCAAAATGCACAATTCACCTTGCAGTCCTCACCTCACCATGTCCCCGTTAGCAGCAACGTGGCCTGCCTTCAGCACACAAGTCACACCTCAACTGCTTGCAAATAGGAAGCTGTGCAAAGGCTCTGCAGTGAATATCTGTGTCTCCTCTCCCTGTTTTGTGCACTGCTGAAAGTACAGTTTGGGATCTATCACTGAAGACCCACAGCAGACATTATTTTGTGGCATATGGCAATCATAAGTTATATGCCTGGGGAGATGGAACTGATAGCAAGGAAAAGATTTTCCTAATTTGCCTCTGTGGCTTTCCTGATGCCTGCGTGTTGGAAGAACTCCTGCACCAGCAGAAAAAAGCGTTTGAGACTTGCTGATCAATTTAGTTTATTCTAATAGTGCACTCTAAAACGGCTGAGGTGGTCAGCTGCTTTCCTTCCCGTTTCAGTACTGGTCACAAGAAGCGGCTGAGACTACTTGTGTTGCTGCATTGCATTCAGGGCCTTTGTAGGGTTAGTAATTCGGGAGACTTTTAAACATTCAGAGTGCCAAGTATGGAGTATTGCCCAGGGCTTAGAACTTGCATTAGTTGGGTAAAAAATCTATTCCACAGATGCTGGTGCTTAGTCCTAGTCCTGGCTAAGCAATGCAGAACTCCCGCTGCAGCTTTGGTGCGCAGAACCCCGCGTGGTGTTAATTTCCTATGATACACCACTACACCGCTGACAACTACAAGACACCTCAGCTGAGAAGAAAGTCTTTCTTCCACAACCCCAGGCTTATATTTCTAAGGCCAATGATCCTATTCCAGTGCTCTTTCGCTTTCTAGACTTGTTTGTAGAGTTAGATTTAACCAGGGTTTTATTTTGTTGTTTTGTTTCTTAAATGCCCCCAGGTCTCAGCGAGGTTTGTTTCAACAATCTCTTGCGGACATGCCAGCCTTAATCTCACTGTTCCAGGCCCTTCTTATTGTCTGGGATGAAAGCGCAACACAGAGCCTCCTCTGCTAATTGCCAGCTTTATGTTTCCCAATGACAGGTGTTTTGTCTGGAGGAACAGACCCAATTGTGTCCCTGCGCAGTGGGGCATCAGCTGCTAATATTAGAGAGCCTTTCAGGGGAGCTCGGGCATGGCTGGTTATTTAGTGCCATCATTTATAACAAATCTGTGTAGCCTAGAAACTTTTAATAGAAAAAATAGGACCTGCCTTTATTATTCATCTTTGGTTTTTTCTCAAGCTACTAACTACACCTAAATCTCCCATCCTCCTACCAGCAAGACAGGGCATTTGATTCTGATCCTCTTTGAAACACTAAATCTCTCTGATATCCTTTTTCCATAGTTTTCTAATAAAGGGGGTTTGCTGGTTTAACCAGACACCCACTGTGGATCTACTTTAACCTGTAATCACAGCTAGCAAAAAGTTTGCAAACTGTTATTCCTGTGGGGTGCATTCAAGCAATGGGGCGAGTCGATATGCACGGGCTCAGATTCACAAACATCACAGAAAGATGGTTTATATCCTCCGGAGATCCTGAGTAACAGCCCTGAGGCAGAGAGCTCACTTTGGGGGACAGCGACTGCGCCTGCTTTATCAAGTAAAAAGAGCTCTGGTGCTCAGGTGGGGTGAGGAAAGGCAGCAGCAAGAGAGCTCCTGAGAGATGAGAGGAAAAAGTACAAGAACAACATTAGACCCAGATTGCATCTGTCTTTCCCT